TTGATAGTTATGTGTCCACTTGACATTTTATTTGACATTATTATATTATTATTATTTTGAAATAAATTCATTTGGATCCAAATATAATTTGTATGAAATTTTTCATTAGTGTTCATCCAGCAAAATAAAAAACAATAGTACTCACACTACGTTTCGCGAACGATCCGTTCGCTTTTTCAAGTAGACTGGTGATGTTATTTCCAGTCTGGTCTGACGTCACCTCGGTGTTGTTGAGGTCGAAGTGCATCGCTGCGTCGTCGACGAGCACCCCCTCCCCCTCTTAGTGTCGTGGTTCAATATGATATCATCATAGATATGTGATAGAATGTGTCCTCCTTCATCTCTGTTCATAGTATCTGTTGTTTTTCTGATCCATAAAGATTCTCTGACTTTTCGTTCAAACTATGAGCTTTCTTTCTGTAATATTTTTATGTCCCAATTTGGAATATGATTTAGTTGTGTGGCATGATCGGTGATTGCAGATTTATTTAAAATGTTGGAATCGGACAACCTTGTCGCATTGTGTGTGTCCTTTTGGGCGAAGGCACTTTACTTATATTTGCCTCCCTCCATCCATGAGTTACCAGAGGACCGAGAATACTGCAATACAACTTCTTGAGGGACGGAACACTATTGGTGATGATCCATGAGTATATATAAATATCTGGTAGAATGGTATTGCATTGAATGTATGGGTCGTGCGCGTAGGAGCAGCAATGACCAGGGATACTCCTCAAGGAGCAGAGAAAGTTGCACAATGTGAGGGTCTACCAACTCGGTATCCATCCAGTGACCATGAAAACAATGTTGCCAGCCCCTTGTATAACAATCCGCGGATTGTGAGTTTTGAAAATATAGATCAAAATTTCTACCGAAAAACAATTACAAATACCCAGGGGTACACATGGTGACCCCTTCTTCCTTCTAGACTATTTGATATTTATTAGCAAGATATACATCGAAATACAATTAAAACATAGCAGTGTGACTGAAGCATCTTCATATAAGGAGTAACCGTGGCCCAATGTCATACGTCTAGCGCTCCTCAATGGCGCTCCTGATGGTTGGTTATAGTATACCACTGTTCCAAACCGTAATAGCATATTCCCGGACTATTCAAACCACCCTTAGGTAGACCGTAACAAGAGCATCGGAAGCCTGGCTTAAAGAGTATGTATAACATATAATGAAGTTTATTGTTCCCCTTTTTAATGATATAGTTGATTAATGAATCCTAACTAAGATCTGCTTAAATATAATAAACTGTATACCTAAAAAACTCGGGAGTTTTTTTTTCTGTAGATCTAGACAAGCCTGTCGCCACTGCCTCAGAAAGTGTTTTATATGAAGGTGAATCAATGACCTTGACCTGCAGTACACCTAATGGTAACCCGGATCCTAATAGTATCATATGGTTTAAAAATGGACAAGCACTTTACACCACAAACACCACTAGAAGTACTACATTTGAGGATACACTTCAAATACACATTAAAGCCGTAACTGTAGATGATGGTGGCCGATATACTTGTAAAGCTGAAAGTGATAAATTCAAGGGAGAAAATGGCAAAACCAGTGCTCCGTTTGACGTGAGGATAATTGAATTCTGTACGTATTTTTTTAATGCAATCAGTTTGTTTACGATACGGTATAATCTCTGGTTTATTCCATTTTCATTTTTTATTTTTAAATGATAGATTTTGAATAGTTGGTGTGAGTGTTTCCCAAATACACAATGATTCTCTTT